TCGAACTGTAAGTAGTGACGTCACTGGAAGTAATCTTTCACACTTTTGCCGTACCAGAGCCTCGCCGTAGTGGATCTTAAAGTCCCTATTAGTGCCTTGAAAGCTGCAATAAAGGCGGATATAAGTCGTCCTGAAATTCAAGTACAGATGAACGACCGCGCTGAAGCCAGACGTCAAGGACTTGCCTTGGGAAATTACCGCACGCAGTTGTTACTTCAAGCACTACAGAGGAATATTGGTACCATCACTGTCGCCAAATGTGGACAGTGGTTCAGGTTTAGGCAGACGTACTTACCAAGATGCATCAATAAAGAAGCAATCGAAGGATAATAGCCTTAAACTAGGAAACAATTTTGAAATGTTGTTTCCCTTTATTGTTTGTAAATATTACACAAATGTTTAACGATTCGCGGGATTGAATGTAACTTTTCAATAAATGATTGTCTCTTGAGGCCATTGTGCCTCTCTATGCTAATTGACTTCGTGAATGTCTCTTTTTCACTTACGATTGTCACAAGATGTTAATGATTTTCTTTTAGTGTTACTGATTGTCAATTGCGCGTGTTGAAATGTCCAATTGGCGTCCTTGATTGTCGATAGATGCTCTTGTTTGTTCGTTGACACTATTGATCGTTTATAAACATGCAAATTTCGCTCTTGAATGTTCCGTGGCGTTAATGAAGTGCTTCTTGGTGTTATAGAATGTATATTCGCCTTATTGATTCTACACCTCGCGAAAATGAATATCTTTTTCGCCTAAATGATCAGCAAAAGATGTACATTAAATGAGAAAATTCCTTGATTTGTGCAGGGTATCAGGGATTAAAACCGGATCTTGATATTTCACAACTCACCTAATATGACTCACTACCTCGCAACTCGTGATATTTTGCAGAATTTGAAAATATCACTAACCATGTTTATCCTAAATACCCACAGAAACCATGCTATGGTTTTGCAAGTGGCTTGCATACTAAATATATTCGCTAAAGTAAAGAAATACTACCAGAGTTCTTTCCGCTATTACCTTGTAGAGCTGGATTTTATTGGCCTTGGTACAAGAATATATAGTACAGCGAAACATTAAAAGTGACCTTCTGATTGAATAGATCTTATTAAAAATCCACTAATTTAAAATTCTCGCACTTTATGCAGCTCATGGCTCTTTTTTGATATAATTAAAAAACGATTTCTCTGTGACTTAGGATCGCTTATCATCAGTTTTGGAATTAAAGCAGCTATCGACTTCATCAGCAAAACTAAAAATTGTCCATGTTCATTTGAATATCTGTGAACTGTTTTTCAGTGTAGAGGCAAGACACAAAAAGTAGAACTTCACTGCACAAAAGCTGCAGTTACAACACTTGAACGCAGCTGCACATGTTAATTTCCCTTTGTTTATGTCGCACTGAAAACCAGCTGCAACACTTTTGAACAAAATCTGAACATTCATCTTATTTAAATACAGAGAACTAGCTATGTTCTGAATATCTATGCAGCGTTTCTATTGAGACAGTACTCTAGTGTAGTATCTGATTAAGGCATGAAGGGAGAAGCCCCCGAAGAATGTTTCAACTTTGATTAACTATGTGGTTCTATCCTCAGCTGAATGTGATTCGGCTTAAAAGATTGTTCTGCAAACAGAAAAAAATTAATAAATAAGTGGTAACCAAAAGCGGAGAGGACAAAGGGTCGAAGAGGAGATATAGACAATTTTCATCTTACACTTTCACTAAAAAGTCTCCCTACCTTAAGAAAGGAAGTAACCATTTTGTCTGTGAAACCATCGATTAGTTTTAAATCTTGAACCTGAAATTCATCACACAACATGAATGCTTTGACCGGATTACACAAACCAGAATATTCTGCACTTAAGATAATTAAATTTCGACCAGGGGTAAGCACTCTACTCAGAGAGGCCGTTTGCAGGTAATGAAATCCCTTTGAAATCCCTTTGCTTTTTGTTTGTGGTGAATGTCATATTCTTTTTCCCCACTTTCTCTGTAACATTAACGTCTCCCACAGTTTACGCTGTCTATCAAATTTCGTTATCAAGTTGTATTTCGTTATCCAAAAGTTGAAACGAAAGAACTGACCAATTAAAATACATTAAGTAGAGTTGCTTTTTTAGAAAAAAACGTCCAGTGCTGTTCAGCCACACAGCTTACCTGCTGGAAAGGCCCATGTATTGTTCTCCAATTCAGTAGGAGTTGGGCTCGCTTGTGACCCACGCCTTGAAGTCTTTTTAAGTCTTTGATTGTACCATCATTCAGGACCTGCAAAATTTCGTTTTCTGTTGCCCAAAAAAAAAAAAAAAACATGACGATGATAAACAGATAATGAAATTATTACTGCTCCCAAGAGTCTAAATGTCTGTTATTTTTTGAGAGGCTATGGTAGAAGTTCACTGATTAACCTTAAACACTTCTTCAGGCTGACCTTGTCCTTGATTGGTAACATTAGCATATTGAGCCGTGAGAAACATTCGAAAAGTTAAGGGTCTCAGTGCCCATGAACATACTACGGTCCCCAAAGACTTATCATTAGTACAAGTAAGTTACCAACTGAACTTGGAAAGTATTTTACGATTGCACAAATGTTTCTTTACTTTGTTCCGTGATTGCTCTGGAATACTAGTGCTACCCTCTCAAACACTCTAGTACATTGCTAAACACTCTTCGCACCGAGGAAGGGCTAACGCTCGAAACGTCAGCTTTTGTAATCGTTACGGTGGCCAATTTACCATTTCAACTTTGATGATATATCCAAAACACTCTAGTACATTGCTAAAACAAACCTCACCTTAGTAACTTACATTTTACCGCGCTTTTGGGAATTTTCTTAATGCCGTTACATTCGTGAAGTTTCCCTTTCATTGAATTGTTTTCACAAAATGATACTGAATCTGAATGCACTCTTTACACAACCACTAATGATGGGAAGGAATACAAATCTGCCTCTTACTATGTGCCTCTTGTAAGTGAGGGTTAATCTTGACCTTGAAATTTTCATCCACGGCCAATGTGGTCAATATGGTTTCCTTTATCAATAAATAATACAGATATCTTATAAATGAGACTAATATATTCGCCACCGTAGCCAATGTGCTGGAGAAACTAAACTCATTTTTTTTGTCGCAAGTCAAAAAATGAGGCTGTGTTGTCTACGTTTCAATATTACACCATACAGTTTTTCAGTTTTCCATGGATCCCTTTTTTCATTTTCTTGTGTTTGGAGGGAATGCTAAGCACACCAAGTCTCTATTGTAAAAGCACATCTGTCCTGTGAGGCCAAAGGATACTTCTTTAAGTGGTTACTTGTTACTGACATAGCTATTAGTGTCCTTGATTCAAGTCACACCAGCCTCAAAGGCTTGATTTCATATCGGAGATTATAAGGTGGCTCCGGCCATAGTACCCCTAACTGTACGTTCAGGTATCACTATCAGAACTGGTATTAATGTAGCCTACATAATGCTACATGCGTATTCTTTGGGGCTCAAAATGGTTTCTTCATTCAATCAACTTCTTTTGGGTATCTTTTGAAACCATTTCTAAATAGAAGAGAAGGGAAGCTACAATCGATGAAAACATTGGAGTTGAAAACAAAAGTATTTGAGACAACTCAAGAAGAGGTTGATCATAACTGTATTACATAAGTACAGCCACAAGTAGTTGCTTACCTGATGACTGCTTTGTGAGGATTCAACAAGAGTAATGTTTGAAGTCCTGCGGGGCGACTCTGGCCAGATTGCATCGAACGTACTGGCTGACCTGTTTCGGTCTTCAAGAGGCTTACCGATAAGCCCTACAGCTTGTTGAGAGGAAGGTAGTTTTTGCTCGGTAGTTTTACCTGAAGAGGACCCACTAAAAAAAGGGACTGAATACCAGATGGAAAAATAAAAACAAAACCGGATGGCGGAGGTAATACACAGTAATTTGGTAAAATCAACTAAGTTGAAATTGAGATACAATGAAATATATGAAGTTCATATATCTACTGCGAGGATCGTGCATCATATGTAAGTTGAAATTGTAAATTGGCCACCATAAAGAGTTAAAAAGCTGCCGTTTCGAGCGTTAGCCCTTCGTCAGAGCGAAGGTAACACACAGCCTGGTTTTCCCACGTGCAATGCAGTCACTCCAATTAGAATCGAAAGAAAACGATCAAGGAAAAATCGGAGATTCTCCAAACGCCCATGAGATCTGAGGGACTTCTGAAGGGTTCAGGGTTTTAGAGATCACAATGTAAAATAAAGTAAAATAACTTTGTTACACCTGTCACAAATTAGTTTACAACTTGTTCATAAAGATTTAAAGTATTTATATCAGCAAGCTTACGCAGAGTTTATAATATATTGAATTTATCTTTTCCATGACCTTTCTCTGAAAATTTATGGTGTTTTACATGGCCTGCGATCGATAAGTTTGTTTAAAATTTGTAGTAAAGCAGTCATTCAAGAACATCATTTCTTATTTTGTTCCTCTCAGAAAAATAAATTTCGGTCGAGCCTTTCCATGACGAACACTAAGAGTTCATAACTTTCCGGGCCGTAAAACTGATCTTGGAAATTCCATGACCAGCCAGGTTTCCATGACAGTACTATGACTGTCATGCGACTGATAAGTTATGAACAGTCTAGACTGAAAGGAATAACACAGTAAGGGCGCCTTTGGCGGGGGTGGAATCTCCTTATATTAAGCTCTTCCGCTGACCTTTTGTGGCATCGGTGCCAGGTTGCACCGTCATCCAAGTCAAAGTCTCTCCACTGGTTAATTTTTCTAGAGCAGCCAGGCGATCTTGTATCTTCCCCTGCTCAGCTCTGAGGGGACTGAAAGATCGAATGCTTTAACCTGGTAAACGTTTCTTTAAGCTTACAAATTTTAAATTTCTTTAGAGTTAAAGGATTGCACAGAAGTTCACAAAAGCAGTGAACCATCATCTTTTAAGACCTACCTTACAATTCCAGCAGGGATGGTTATCTTTTGCGATTCAATAATCGGCTTTCGGGTGGGCTGTACGTATATTCATTGTAAAAACGAAGAAGAGAAAGCAAACTGAGACATAGAGAGGCTATATGACAGCTCTCAGATTATGTTTTTTTAATACTTAATTTTGAAAACAAAAGACAAATGAAAAATAGTTCCTATCCTTAGCCACGATTTTTTCCCCACTAGACGCTTAGTAATAAGTTTTAATTTGGCATTTGTTTTCAACTTGTGTAAATCCTGCAACCCACACGCTAGAATAAACCCTGCCAACTCATTTTAAACAAGAAAATGACCTTCAAGTTGTGGTAAACGTCTAACTTCTTGTGTTAACGCAAATGACATGACTATCACTTTGATGATTTAGAGTCATTAAAAAGTCATCGCAATCGTTATCGTTAATATTTAGCTTATTTACAACCATGAAACTACCATTTCAACAGCTCGTTTAAGGTCAAAATTGTCAAAAAATCAAAAAGAAGACTGAGACTTCCGGTGATTTTGATATTCTTATCCATTTACTTATTTAGTTATTTTTTTAGGAAAGTTCTCACCTTTGAAAGCTCGTGTGTTTCTAAAGAATCATCCTTCTTGCGTCGCTTTGCCTACAGAATCATTGACTAATTAAATACATTTGTTCCAGTGAAACTTAAAAAAGTTAAAACATCCAACTCCGCCTCAAAAAATGTCGACGTTAAACTCTGCAGGAGCGCGACTTTATTGCAAGTTTTAAAAGGCATTTTTCACGCAGCAAGCAGCTTTCCTAACGCTGTGGCACTGGTACAAGACAGTTCTGTCATTGTTACCTTTGGCTTCAAATGTCTCCACCTGTCTGAGAATTTGTGTACCAAGATGATTGAAGCCCCATACACTCCTGACTCTGTTATGGTTACTTAACTCAATAGTACGACATAGCGATATTACAGTGTATATACCTGTCTCGGAAGTGGAGCCACATCTCTATATCTCTTACAGCCCAACGACTTGTCTGGAAAAAGAAAATAGGATAACTGCGGCTGAAGATTCGAAAGTTTTTATTAAAGAAAATAAACAGGCAGAAAGGAGAAAGGAGAGTTCTCCAGTTCGAACCAGAAATATTTAACAAAGATGAACGCTCTCGATACAAACAAAGTTGTAAATTGGCTGTTGATTGATTATGATAAAATTCCCTTGAAGGAGCTTTGCCACGTGATTTCCAGCAATGTTTGTGCTGCAAAACCGAAGAATAAACTACAAAAGGAATGAAGATGGTTATAAATGGGGTGTTAAAGGGCTTTTAATTATTATCTTTGCTTCAGTGTTACACATAACTAGAAAACTTTCTTGCAACATGAAATTTGTGTTACGCTGAACAAGCATGGTCATTTCATGTTCCGCAGAAAAAAAGGTCAAATAACGCGAACTAACAGGAGTTACACTGAGTTCGAGTAAATGAAACACAGAACTGAGAGACTTTTGATCCAAGACTCACCGACTGTTCTCCTGACAAATGGCTCGTTAACGATAGTTCTTGACTTGGAAGCAAAGTTCAGAGTGTTGACCGTATCTGCATAGAACCTCATTTCAGGTGCAATGTTGGCAATCATAAAAGAATGCGCTGAGCCACCGAGTGAGTCCTAATGGGTTGATCGGAAAAACAAGAAAGATAAACCTTTAAAGATTGGGATTGAATGAAAGGTTAAAATAGTTCGACTGGTGGTAGATGGTCTCGCTGCAAGAAATGACGGTGCAACTGGTACAAATGGACTAACTTAAGAAAATGGTGCACCTGGTTAAAATAGTCCAAGAAGATAATATGGTCAAACTAAAATATGGTCCAACCGGTTAAAATGGTCTACATGGTTTATACAACTTCGTACAAACCTAATTCAAGAACGTTTCAAGGACCAAGTGTTACCACAATGAAACTCTTCCACGTCTTCTTCACGCTAAAAACTTGCAGCAGAATCATTTACAACTTTTAAGATAGTTCAGACTTCGTTGATGAGACCAAGCCATCCGTGAACAATAATTTTTAAAATAATTACAGTCACTAATTATGAAGTGAAGAAACAAAATTTGAAATACATAGGCAGTAATACTGTGTACGGTTCAAAAAGTTCATAGCTAAATATTTCATGACGTCTTTAGAGCTTCCAACTTTTCGTTTACTTTGTCTTCTCTTTGGCTGCCTTTCCAAGAATATTGGCCCTAGTAATGAAAGTCTGCTGTTCAGTTCCTCTAGCTTTGATACCCAGATTATTTGCTGATTCTCCACCGCTCATTTGACTTGCAAACGATTTTGAAGGTAGCCTCACTTCAGACAAACGCTACATAACAACTCGACTGTCGACGACTATACGCGTTATTTTCCCCCACAAAGTCATTTAATTTGTCACAGAAAGTGATAACGCATATACGAATTCCTATAATTCAGGAACTTTTCAAGACCTAATAAAAAAAATCAAATACTTTTCAATTATAGTAACCAAATCAATGCCTTTCAAAATGATTCCTTAAAGTCAAGACCTTTCAAGATTGTATGAACCATGGGTCTAACTAGAGAAAATAGTCTAACTGGTTAAAATAATCAAACCGATTAAAACGGTCAAACCAGTTCAAATAATAATAATAATAATAAATGGTCAAACCGGTTAAAATGGTTCAACCAGCCAAAGTGGTCTAACTAGATAAAAGGTCCGTGGAATATTCGTGTAATTAAGTTTTCTCTTACCTGAAGAAGGCGTGTTAATTTGCTGTTCCTGTAGGGTACCCTACACTACAGTATGTAAAAAAAAAGTGTCAAATAATTGAGCTGAGGAAAATGTGAAGGCCTGCGATGATTTCTTTCAGTAATAATTATGGAAGTATTACCATTTTTTCACTACTTACTTCAAGTTACAGTCATTCTAACTCCAAGTTATTTTGCCAATGACCACTTTGCTAAAGTCTTAGGGGGTTTCACCAAGGTCTCTGGTCAGTTTGTTAACGTCTCACAGGTTGTTTTGCTAATGTTTTCAGTTATTTCACCAAAGTCCCTTTTACATTTTGTTACCTTTAAAGTAGCACTTTGGTTTATTGTACCATGCACACATGAAAATGTATGTTTTAATTAGTATCAAAATGACTTGACTTGTATCAAATTGACCTGCTGCGTGTACAGAATGGACTTTGCCAACGTTTTGAATTGACTTCAGTTTGTCTTAAATTGAACAGTTACCCATACTTTAGGTATTGGCGAGTTCTGACTTTAGGAGCAACTCTTCATGTGTTTCTTTAAACTTCTTATGATTAAATTCCAGAATTTCTCTGCAATACTGTCCAGTACAAGATATCCTTTGCCAGTGATCACTTTTCAATTTCAACTGTGCCTTTTGGTGGAATTTTTCAATCTGATTCTGATCAACAGTTATTAGAACCATCATAAAATATTTTATATGGGTTGTTTAATTCAAGGAATTAATTTCAAGAATGTTCATTAAGAAACTGTTCCAAACCTACCAAGCCCTGGTTCAAGGCATCAACAACTTGTCCCAGAGCAAACAATGAGCTATTGATAGCACCACTTTCTTTCAACCTACCAGGTATATGTAAAGGAAAGTTGTCTTCTCATATATATGTTAAGCAAGGCCATTATGAAGTTCATATATGACAAGCATCCTTTATACTGCTGAGGTCAGCAGCCACTTCAGCATCATGTTTGTAAACATAGTTAGAAAGATAGTAAATTTTGAGCTCAGTGAAGCAATAGAGCATGGGAAAAAGAAAAAATTCTGAGTCCCCATGAGGAATCAAACCTCAGACCTTAGGAGAGAAACACATCCAACTCCATTGTCACATTAAATGATTAAATAAATCAGTGACAAATAGGGTAAGCTTATTTTTAACAAACAGTGCACTGATCTTATACCGCCTCCCAGTTAGCTCAATGGATAGACCGCTGGACTGTCGTGCGGGAGGTCGAGGGTTCAAGCCCCAGCTGGACCAACACTCAAGGTCTTAAAATAATTGAGAATATGCTACCTTTCTATAACATCAAGAAATGGTTAGATATTCTAGTCTTCTCAGATAGGGATGAATAAATGGAGGTCCCATCTCCTGCAGGGTTAAGGGCAGGAGACGTTAATTTCCCACGCACGAGATTACTGTGTGATGGATGTCCTCCCCTGGGGTGGGATGGTGGGTTTGTATTGTTGTGAAGGTCGTAAGTTAGATAACTCATTGGGTTTATTACATCACCTTTGTTAAATAAAGTATTGTTGTATTGTATTGCAAATGAAGCCCTAAAAAATAAATCCCAGTTATAAAAGTGGTAGGGGGGTGGAGGAATGTGATTCTAAACCCTGCCTGGTACCTTAGCATGACCGTGTTTCCCAGTCTTTGAAGTAGACATCTCAACTATTTTGCAAGGACGACCTTTTATGAGAACGTAACCATTTTTGCGAAGAGCGGAGCATTGCTGCGGATAAGTGTCAGAGGCACCGGCATCTCCTTGTCCCTCAAAGTCTTCATCAGCCATGACAACAGGAACTGAAAAATATTACAAAGACCTTGTTAGATCTCACTGAAACACAACATCCTTGAGAAAACTCCACTAAATCACAGGAGCCTCATCAAAAGAGGTGGTTAACAATTACTGTGTTTTCAGGTTTCCAACTTTAACTAGACATGAATGGGAGGAAAGCTCAAAGAACCTTACAGAGGTTGCCTCCAAAGTAACCTTCTGACTCTGGATGTAATCTACTCCACAAATAAACATTGAATAGAGCAATAAAAATTGTGGTCTATTTTACGCACTTATTTTTTTACTCTAAGCAGATAGGAAAAAAGAATAATCTATTGTATACCACCACAGGAACAAGGCTATGAAAATAAACAGGATAATGCAATTGTTCATCTGGCAGTAAATGGCAGCCAAGATTGCTGTCATGTAGGTTAAAAAGAAGTGACTTATCCACTGAGATTTTACTGTCCTGACCTACACATCGGCTGCGTTTTCTACACCCTACCATTATATTTAAAGAAAGATCTAGAGAATGTAGAGAAACGGGCATTGTCAATCATTTGCCTGGGCCTGGCCTATAGAGAGGCCTTAGAGCTTTCAAATATTGTGTCTATCAATGACTACATCGCCAGCTTATGTAAAAAGACCTTCCTCTCGATTGGTAATGACCCGGCCCATTGCTTACATAAAATGCTTCAATCATCATGGCCGTCGTGTTATAATCTCCAGTGCAAAAGGCATTTTGCGATTCCCAAATGTAGAACCGAGCATTTCAAAATTAGTTTTTTAGTAAGATCATGCATTAACAACGAATTTCAGGGCTTGGTGAGTTTTGTAAATGAGATAAATGAGGGCCACTGGTTTATCAGCGCAAGCTGTTATGTGTCTACCCTCTTTAAATAAAGTCAATTATTATTATTATTATTAGATCGATGCCGTTGTATATATTTTAACAGTTCAAGCTTTCATCATATTTATAGGATATTATATGAACTTCATATATTCATTGTATAGGATATTATTATTTATTTAGGACTTTAATACAATCCGACCT